GGGGAGGCTTGTGTAGTGGCAGCGGGGAGCCCAGCATGGTGGTGGATGGTCCTGTGGGGTGGCAGTGGGGAGCCCAGTGTGCCAGTAAGCCCTACCCAGGACTTGACACGCTCAGCTGTATGTGCTAACTTTGGTTAGCTCTTCAATATTACCTGGGGTGGAGCCTCACTCTGTGCCGTTTCCTTCGGGCTGCACCCTAAGCCTTGTTTTTACTAACTTTTTGCAGGTTTACGGCCAAGGGTCTGGCCTGGAGTGTAGGCACCATGTCCAGAAATTAAACTTGCTTCAGGGTGAGGCAGAGGAAGCAATTCGTTGGACGTCTTGGTAGAGTGTTTTATCTGCTTGTTGCTTTTGATGTGCTTACAGCTGCTGCACAACTTCTCACATTGGGTGCCTCTTACCTAATTTGAGCTCACGGGAGGGTTTTCTGTCTTGTTGTAAAGCCATGACATCTGTCAGTTTTGTTGTCACCTGATAAGAACAAGCTTTTTGCTGGGTTCAGTGTCCTGGCATGTTTCTGTGGACAAGGAATTTTTTCAGATAAGTTTAGTTGATCAGTAGTGCATTTTGGTCGAGCCTTTACCCATAAAATATATGTAATAGGGTGTGGGGTTTTTGTCTAATTGGTCTTTCTTATGTACTGTTTGATGAGCTTGACTGTGGAGGTGTCCATGACAAGGCAGTGCAGAGGTACTTCCTCAGAGAAAAGATCCTCCACTCTGAGCTGTTGCTACCTAACTGTTGGCATTCAGGAGTTTCACACTGACTTTGTTGAATAATTGCTGCTCCAGTTGATAAAAAGAGTCGTTTAATGCAAAACATTTGGGTTTTTCCTGCTGGGCTGAAAAATCTGAGTAGGACTTTCCTATTTATTTCATTCCTGAATCACCTGATCTTGAACTGGTCCAGCTTCCTTTTTACTCAGGGTTATTTTCAGAAATCGGTCAAAGCTAGTTAGATAACTTAGCTGTGTATATGCAGTGCTTCAGGATTAAGCTTTGGGAAGAAAACCCATTGCTTGTTCACTTTATCAAAAAGGCTTGCTAATTCTATCTCAAAACATTGTGAAATTCAAAACATTGTGAAATTCAAAACATTGTGAAATTCAAAACATTGTGAAATGCAAAACTTATTGAAATTCAAAACATTGTGAAATTCAAAACATTGTGAAATTCAAAACATTGTGAAATTCAAAACATTGTGAAATAACTTTCCCTTGGCTGCTTGGGATATAATTAGTGGGTTTTCAGCTGTTGTCCCAGAAAACATGCTGTTATATCACCAGTTACGATCCATTAGAATTTATCATTTCTTGATAGTGGCTTAGATCAAACTTGTCATTCTGTTTGTATAGAAAGAACGAGGGCTAGCCTCTAACTAGATTTTTTCAAGTATTTGGGCAATGTATCTTGCAAATCCTTCACTTGACATCTGCTTTTCTATAGACCCCTTTTTTCCTGACATGCTGCCTATCTGGTGTTCCTATCTATGCTTTCTATCCAATCCCTTGTGCTATGACTAGGTGATCTGAAAGTTATAAATCCACAGACAGAAGTGTGTTCTAGAAACTCTAGCTTAACCATCTATTTTAGGTGCGTAGAAGAATCTGTAAATGACAGCAAAAATGTAGCAGCCCAACACGAAGACAGTTCTGTCCAGCAGGTAAGAGACCTGCAAAACTGAGGTAAATACCAACCCAGACTGACCAAGGTGAATCAAAGTAGAATCAGTGATCCCGTTATAGGTGTTCAGACAGCTGAAATAGTGTGTATAATCAGAGAGGCTCCAGAAACAGGAGATGCATACAGAAACTGTCTGCTCCACCAGGATACTGAACCTGGGAACACAATACAGGAACCTGTCCTAAACTGTTGTGGAATTTGAGGCATTCAGCACATACATAAGTGTCAAAAAGCAGAACCCTGTATTTTGCTGTTTTCAGTAATTCTCTGATGTTGTAGAAAGGAAGGGCAGAAGTCAGTCGCTGGAGTAAATATCTGGATAAAGACAGTGAAGATCAGGAACATGGGGAGGAGGAGGCAGGTACAGAAAGGCAACAGTTTTGTTCCCGGAGGAAGAACACTGTGAAAGAACAAAGGTACAGAAATAGCTTCTTTTGTAATTTCTGCCCCCAAGTGCTGACATCCGGTTTAGAGGTGTGGGAGGTGGTTTATCTCTGATAGCTGAACAAAGTACAGGTTGCGTTGTACAACCTGACCTGAGCAGGGAATTAGTATTTGGGGGTAAAACTTCTCTTACTGATAGAGCCATGCATTTTATAAACATCTCTGGTGATTTGTGGGGGAAAAAAAAACCCCAAAAACAGAAGACCAACTCACTGTGGAGCTAATATGTCCTCTCTATGAATGCTTTTCTTGGCCAGGAAACAGCAGAAGAGCTTCCTCTCCAGTGATACTCAGGAGGACGCAGAGGAAAATGGAGTTCTCCAGCTTGCCTACCAAGCCAAAAAGGTTAAAACCTCCGAGATATTTCAGTTGTAGAAGATGCTTTCTGCCAGTAAAACAAAAGTGTTGCCCTGACCTCTTTTGTGTCATCATAATTGTGAATTTTTATTGGTCTTCCTCTGCTATTCTATTTGAATGGCTGGGGAGGAGAAGAAAATTGTGTTGGGAGTTTCTCTCTGAAAAGTTTTAGTCAGACAAAAACAATGACACCTTGTGCGAGCTGAGTGGTTGAGCCGGAATCATCCCTCAGCAGAGCTGCAATCTGTGCTGTGTTGCAATACTGAGCAGCGGCATCGGTGCAGCATGCAGTTGTTGAAGCTATTGCAGTGCTGGTAACCAAGCTCTCTTTCTTCTTACAGCGCAAGAAATGTTTCGTAGCAGCAGCTGATCAAGATGATGGAGATGCTGTTTTTGGAGACAGTGTGGTTCCTGCTCTGTGTGAGTCTGCAGTGCTGGAGGAGAATACACAAACCCCAACTGCTTCTACGAAACCCTCTAAGTGGGAAAAATTTCTCTCGTGTTCTGACAGCTATTGTGAAAATGCTGCCAGGGTGCCCTTGTCACCACAGGAGGGCAGTGGAGGGTTGGGGCTACACAGCACCGCTGCAGCAGATGCTGGTGTGGCCAGTAGGTGCTCAGAGCAGGCTGGAAGAACTCTACCTCAAGGTACAGGTTTTGAATTTAAAAAGCATGTTGCTAGCACTGAGCAGCTTGCCTCAAAACTGTCTGGCAGCGTGGTGCCCAGTACCAGTTGCTCAGCTGAGGAGGATATGTTGTTCAAAGAACCTCAAAGCCAGGTGATAAGGGCAGGACCTGGTATCTTGGAGACCACTGCAGGAAGGGGCTGTTTGGGTAGCCCTAGGAAGGCAAACACCCTTGGAAACTGTAGTGCTAGGCCAAAGCCTAGCAGTGTTTCTTGTGAACACCTCTTCTGCACTGGTGAGGAATTTGATGATGACCTCTGAGTTTAGGCATTTTTGGCCTTGATTTGTTGTCTCTCTAGTGTATTTTGTATGTTGATTGCAAGATTTTACCTGAAGATGGATTTACTCTAAGCCTTATGAAACTGCACTATTAAAGCTGTTTACTTGCTCTATGGCTGTGTCTGGGGGAAGGGTACAAGAGTGGAAAAGACTGTTGTAGTGGACATGTACTAGGGTTACAGTGTGTTGTCTACCAACTTCATCAGCTAGAAATAAGAATGGAAGTAGGTCAGCCTGGCAGGAAGAAAGCTCCAAGGAGTTCTGGCCAGTACAATTAAAGTCTGTGTTTAATTCCCCATTACAAACTCCAGCTTTTTTCCCCTGTGCTACCTTTGTTTGCATCTCCCATAGCAACATTTTCTTCCAGAGCTGCAACACAGGCTTCAATGGAACCAGCAAAGCATTTGATTTCTCTATGTAAAAGTAGCTCTAGGCATACCCTAAGGTTATGTGAAAAAAGGCAGGCCTTCAGTCCTGGGCTGCCTCCCTTGCACAGGGAGCTGCTTGATGAAATCACAGGCTCTTAGTTGAAGGAGTAGAAGAACTGGGCTAAGTAATACAGCTGTGATACTTAAACACTCACACAGACTCATCACAGGAAATAGTATTTATTTTTCCTCCATTCTACAAGCACTTAGGAACATGAGACAGAAACCCTTAGCAGGAAGGTGAACCGCTGAGTAAGTTGTACTGCGCTGTTTGCTTTCTGTTAGAAGGAAAGTGCATTTTGTTACACAGACTACTACAAGTGAGGTGGCTGCTTGGAATACTGGATGGCATCTAGTGCTGCCCCGATATCGCAATTCTTTGTCTGCAGGAGTCGAGTGAGCCATCCACCCTCATCAGAGAAGCCCATAGAAAGCATCTGGGACAGAGATTCAATAAGGCGGGGGTCCGCTTCTGTTGAGAGAATAGTTTATAAAGTTAAAATATTTCATGTAGTTGCCAAGCCAGCCAAGCTTTTAATACTACACAGTGAGGAGGTTGGCACTAATCCTAGTAAATCTGGCCTAGCTGGTTAAATGCTAGAAGACACTCTCTCCTTTGTCTCCCAGGAGGGCAGATGTTTGATACAGGATACAAAACCAGCAAAGGAAACTGCTGAGTCAGACTCAGCTGGCTTTGCTGTAGGACTCTGTGCTGTTGATGTGAGTTAAGTGGCCTGGCATATTGTTAAAGGCTCCTACCAGAAAAATTCTGTCTTAAAAGTCACAGGATGTACTAGTCTGCATCCTGCATTAAAGGACTCTCAAGGACATGATTTAAAGTAACATCCTTTTTCATGTTGTTTGAATGATATATCAGTGTAAGGTCAGACTTAGCTGTCCACATGCAAGAGAAGAACCACCTGACTGTCTAACAATACAAGAGCTGCCATACCTGCTAACAAAGTTATGGGCAAGTTTAGCTGTAACTTATGCGACCTTGGTTTCTACCATCTCTAAAAGGAGGTCTGCTTATGTCAGGCAAGCTGATAATTCCTGAGTGAAAATTACTCCGTTACCTGGTGGGAGATGTGGGTAGAGTGCAGCTTCTCGCAGTCCTGTAGGTCCTGGCTGGGGAGGATTCTGAGATGCATCCAGGGAGCTGGGACCCTCTGTCTCTGGCATTTGCAAAGACTGCAGTTCACCTGTGGAAGGATCCACTTCTTTGGAAGATAAGTGGGTCCAGTCCTCATCACCCCCTGATGAACTGCTAGACTCACTGTGTTCCTGAAATGGAAAGAAAAGTGTCCAGATGCTGCAGTGCGTTCCAGGTAGGATGCATGCTATTATCTGCCTTTAATATGAAGAGCTACATCCACAAGAAGTCCCACCACCTTTGCTGTAAACCTGTAAAGCAAAGGTGCTCTGTATCATGTGTGTGTATATATGTATATATATATACACACACACATATATATATACATATATATGTACACTGACAAATGTTCAGTCCCACAATGCATGCTAAATTAAAATCTTCCTTTCTAATATTACATATTACAATAGCATATTACATTAGTGTCATAGTTCTCGTACCTGTGACTGGAAGCTGCCGTCTTCCATTTGTGGGGGCACAGGATCTATCACCATGTCTTGTACCTGCTCTGCAACAGCATTTACTTCTGTAGTGGAATCTGTATTATTCCAGTCTGGTTTGGTCTGAGCGTTCTGGTTAAGAGCACTGCTGCTTGACTCAGCACTGTTCTCTTGATTGGGAGCAGCAGGAGTCACTTTGCTTCTCTGTCCTCCATGTTCTACATCAATATCAACTTCAATACCTAGAAAAGCATTTGAGATGGAGAAAGTCTTAAGGGATTTTTCCAAAGCACAGTACTACAAAAGCATGGATCAATCCTAGTCTAAATGCTGTTAGGTTTCTGTAATCCTACAGTTTGCCATGTACCGTACATGAATTACAATGTAAAGCATTCTTTAAACAAGGAATAGTTAAGCACCAAGTAGTCGTCATACTCTAGACAAGCCATACATTTAGAGGGTCAGGGCAGAAGTAATCTCTGTCCACATAAGCCAGGCAAAGTCCTGAGTCGCCACTGACTTAAAATTAGGGTTACAGTGGTGACATGTTAATGAAATCTCATTTCTTTTCAAAGGAGGGCTCTGAAAAGGTACTGAGTGGCTGTTCTAAGCCTAGGCATTATTAGTACCAGGAGTAAGTTAAGCTTTCAAGGCTTAGTAGCATGAGGTAGTTCCGGCATCAATCACAGCAGCTGACTGCAGCTTCTGTCTAAAGGACCTTTTAAGCCAGTCTCAGGGATTGGGATAAATGTAAATCACTTACCCAGGGGACTCAGAAAAGCTGCCACACTCTCCCCAACATTCTTTAAGAAGGTGACGTTGGGGTCCTGAGGCTGGCTGTTAGTAGAAGCTTCTAGAAAAACAATTTCTGTTAGCACACATAGGAGCTCAGAAGGAAAGAGCACCTAGAGAGTGTATCCCCATGAGATCTTGGTGCTTGTTTCCTGCCACTCACATACACTGCACAACAAAGGCAGTACAGAGACCAAAAATAACTGAGCTACCCTTGGAACAGAAAACCAGTGGCATTAGCATTGTTAAGGCTCATTAGCCATGCTGAAAGGCAGATGTGGAGTAGTGACATGCTTGACCTAACAGCTCAGCTGTGTTTGGTTCCAGATAGTCTCTCTGCATCCTCATCTACTGCATAGGCCCAAGCATGCCTTAAAATAATCCCACTCTGCACTGAAAGGTGCTAATTACTTCAAGCAAGTCAGAGTAGTTCCTATGTCCATTTTTCCACCCAGATTCCATCCCATGCTGCAGAACCTCAGCTAACCTGGCTCCACCAACACCTTGTTTACCATAGCGTCCCCTCTTACCTTCTGCATTGGGTGGGCTGGAAGCTGCAGCACTGGCCTGGCCTTGTTCAGAGTTCTGGCATGGAGCTGCAGGGCCAGGATATCCCCAGCAGTGCATCCATGGGAAGGGTGGAACACCGTGCCGCATTTTACGGAGCCAGCGTCCTCGGGGAAGCCACTGTAAAGGGTAATGTTCATGTGACACTGTTTACACAGCCAGATTCTGAGTAACTGAAACTTATGACTTAAATCTGAGGAATATCCCATTCATTAGTTCCCCGCCATAGATTCTGCTCACCTCAAAGGGATTTAGCAGTGGACTCTGAAACATCACCATGTTGTGCTCTTTGTGGATGCCTTTACCCTCACAGGTGCTGCACAGGTCATAGTCTGGACAGACAGTGCACTTGAACCTGGCACCCACCACCGGTCCTTCGCAGCCATCACAGATCACGTTGGGGTGCACCATGTCGCGAGGAGGCTCCTGGCTGCACTGCGAGCGATGCTCCCGCCTGCACTCCTTTTTCTCTATTAAGGAAAGGAAGCTTTGCATCAAGAACAAGGTTACTATTTAAAGGCTGGAAATCAGTCAGAGGAGAAGGAAGCACAAACAGCCCTTGTCAGAGCAGTATTGACTTACTAGGTCAGTTTATTTTTACACTGGCTGCCAAACACAAGCCAGGGGCAGGCAAGAGAACTTAAACCAAGTGCGAAGGGGTTTCACAAAGATACCTGCTCCTCAAACTGAGCATGCCTTATCCGTAACAGTCTCTTAGTGTCTTTATTTTGGATTAGTACTGGCTTCTCATCCTACCTTCCTAAGCACTGCAAGAACACAATGTTTCTGGGGAGGGAGTTAGGAAGAAATGCCAAGAGGCATAACAGATAACGGGACAACAGCCACAGGCTTTTGTGACTCATTAGATGGGCTACAGATAAAGCTTTGCAGGTATCTACATGAACAGAAGGGACTAGGGAGCAACTATGCACTGAAGAGGCTGGAATTAAGGCTTCCTAATGCACTGTTGTAAACATTAAAGATACCAGTGCCAGGCTAGTATTTCCAGGGAGCCGGCATGACAACAGTGGCCTGTACTGGGCCAGCTGAGATGACAAAGCTAGGAGGAAACTTGCAATCTGTTTACCCCACATCACCAGGGAGGATTCATATTCTGGCACATTACCTTGCCCTTTATTTAACCTCCCCCAAAAGCTGTAGGTTATGCCAAGCCCTCAAAGACAAGAGGAAGGGCCAGGGTTTGCTTCTCCCATTTTCAGAGCCCTGCCAGCAAGCACACAGTGCGGATCCAGGGATCTGCCCTTCATTGCTGCACAGCGTTACCTTTGATGTAAACACGGAAGACGCCATCCTGCACATAAGGCATCGCCATCTCCAGCTCCTCGTCGGTAGAAAAAGCGATCAGGTCCCCGTCTTCATCTAGAAAGGGAGAAGCGCAGGATAAGGTGCCCGCTCAGGAGAGGCGGCCGGGAGCCCGGGCGACGGCGGGGACACCCCGGCTGCCGGGGCAGCCCCGTGCCCTGAGGCCTTCCCACCCCCCGGGGCACCGATCTCGGGGCCCGACCGGCGGAGAAGGAC